ATATATATATATATATATATATATATATATATATATATATATATATATATATATATATATATATATACAAAAAGTTATTTAAAAACTCTCCAGTCCTTGATGTGAAAAGAAAGGCTCTATTTCTTTTATTACTTAACTCTTCCTCCCATCCTTAAATGACATGAAATCACAACAGCATTCTATTGCATAGGACTATGATGGCTCCCCCTAGTGGTCATTATATGTAACAGCTTATGCTGCACATGTAAGGGAATATAACTTAGAACCAATTGTTGGTAAACTGTGTGATAACATCATTATCAGCCATCATCAGTCAATAAAGAGATATAAAAGTACTCTTTTCAATAGCATTATACTTTCTGGTTCTCACACTTCGAATAAATTTGGAAAAGCTTTAATGTTATGTTTTTTTTTGTTTTGTTTTTTCAGATCTGCTGATCTATTGTTTTTGTAACATTTCCCTGTTTTCATGTTTATGGCTTTACAATGCTGTGTTATGTTTAGGACATTTATCCTGTTTAACAATATTTAAATTCCTTTACCCGCTACTACAGCATAACACGGAGAAACACAGAGATAATCTTGTATAAACTCTATGATAATGAATTTCAAAACCTGCTTCCTAGACTTTGAATGTCTGGCATACATTTCATTTAAGGGACAACAAGAGAGAATAATTGTAACATCTTTTTTGACTTGTTCTTACAATGGATTCCTTACTGCAGCTGTGGGTACTGGGTTTTACCTGGTACATTAGTTCTGCTCCCAGTATTTACTTTCTTCTGAAGAAAATAAAAGAACTGCAAGAGATGAAGAAGATGAGGAGGCTTCTAGGGGTCTCTAAACTAAACCTAAACCTTAAATTACATAGAAAGTCACACATAGGGAGAAGCCGTGCTTAGTTAAAAATGTTGTGTTAAGAGCAACTTAAACAATTGTTATATATTTATTAAACATAATCTTTTGTATTGTGACAATTGTTTGCCTTTCATTTAACATTCCTGATTCATTATGCATAATTATACAACCTAAACTTTGAAGTTTTCTAAGTGTTCTTAGATTTTTTTTAACCATTAAGTGAAATAAAATAACTTGTCATGTCATCTCAAGGCACTTTCCAGTTCATCAGATCATCCATTCAGATTAGTTCAAAGTTTTCTATCTAAGAAAAACCAGCTGATTGCATCGACTCATTGACTC